TTTGAAAATATTCATTGAAGGGTGGTGTTTTTGAAGTTGAGATTCTAATTTTTTATGGGTTTTCGGACTAATATGCATTGCATGCACTGCTCCTTAGTATAAAAGGATTTTTTTTAATATGTACCGTAATGTATAAGTTAAGGAAACATTTTCATTATAAATTTATATAGAAAAATGTAAAAATTGACATTAATTTTAGTATTGTTGCTATGTGAATCAATTTAATTAGATGACACATAAATTAAAAATTAATTTTTGATCTAACATAAATTTGTGATAAAAAAATATATTTATTACATTTTTTACACCTAAGAATGCTAAGTTTGACAATTTTTAAATAAAATAAACATAAATAAAGAAAAACCTATATAAAATAAACATTAATGACTAAAGAGGTAAACAGCTTATACCTCAAGACCTACATAAAGAAAGAAGAAACTTATTTACACTTTGAGAACTAATGAGGCAGTTTAACCCTAAAAAAAATGTGATAAACAGAGGTAAGTTTGTTGGAGCTCTTATGCCATTCATTTAATAACTATTGATGCAAATGAGAATTGTCCATTACATTATACGTGGATGGTTTATAAACTAATATTTAAAGTTTGAAAATACCTTAAATATTATTAAAATTTAAGTAGAATCTAAATAAATGTTACAAAGTCAAATTATGAAATAAATAATACTTAGATTCTCTAAATATCTAATATTGATAAATAAGTCCAAAAACTAATCCAAGTCTCAACTAAGTCCAAACCAAATCTAATATGGAACAATTATACACCCTGATATCTAATGTCTCTAACATCGTTACCTAAAATAGTGGATAAGAAAAAAATATGAGATATAATTCCAGTAAATGAATATCCAATTTCACTTTTATTTTTAATTAAGCATGCCAACAAGTTCAAATCAAGTATAAAGTAAATACATACAAGTAATGAAATAGATGTCTTCTTTATAAGTCATGGTTAGCATTTATAAATCTCCCACTAGTGAGCATCAAGATTACTAGTGTTACACCCACTAGTAGGATAACAAGTATAACAAGAATAAACCTATTCTATAACTAACATGTTGATTATGTATCAACATTTATAAACCTCTCATTGGCAAGCAATAAGTAAAATATGACTATATTAGAGATCAAAACATGCTAGTATGTATATATATCAAGTAAATATACTCACTTCAAGAAAATAGGTATCTCACATATTAAATAGCAAGTGTCAAATTAATTTCCATTAAATAGACATGCTTAACCAAATAAAATCCAACTTAAAATTAAACAAGATTTAATCATGATATCTAAATAAAAATGGGCTTTTTGTGGGGCGGGGTTGAGGGGGGAAAGAAAATTAATTGGGTCAAATGGGACAAGGTTTGCAAGGTAAAAGAGCATGGGGGATTGGGGGTGAAGGATTTAAGGAAGTTTAACATGGCTTTGCTAGGAAAGTGGTGTGGGAAATTAGTGAAGGATGAAGAAGGGCTATGGAAAAAAGTGATATTTGAAAAAAAATGGTAGGGAAGGGGAATCTAGATATAATTGGTTGAGGGAGCGAACTGGTTATGGCTCAATTTGGTGGAGGGACATATGTAGGTTGAACATTATTGATCATGAGAAAGAGGTTGGTTAGCCGAGGGGTTGAGAGTTAGAGTAGGTGAAAGGGAAAGCATTAATTTTTGGTGGGATGACTGGTGTGGGAGAGGAAAATTGACTAATAGATACCCTAGGCTCTATTTACCATCTACAGGAAAGGACAATAAAATCTCATAGATGGGAGGTTGGCTCAACGACACCTGAAAATGGAATTTGCAATGGAGAAGGAGATTGTATAGTTGGGAAGAACAAGAAGAATCAAAGCTCAATAAGGAAATCCATGATACAACAATTACACAAGGAAAAGCTAATGTGTGGGATTGGATTCATAGCGAGGACGAGGGATACTCGAAAAGGATAGCTCACCAGGCATTGATAGTGGAGCACGGAATGTAACAAGAAGGAGTAGTTCTCCAAAAGTTTAGAACACACTTGTGCCAAATAAAATTTCAGCATTTTCGTGGCAAGTGTTACAAGATAAAATACCTACAAAGTTTAATCTACTGAAACGAGGTATCATTCATGATATTGAGGACTGCAAGTGTGACTTCTGCGAGGGTGAAATAGAGGAAGCTAGCCATCTTTTCATCCATTGTAAAGTTGCTTACAACCTCTGGAATGCCTGTTTTAGATGGTGGGGGGATAAGATCAGTGCTGGACAAAGATTGCTGGAATGTGTTTCAACAGCACTCCACCGTCCTTAAAAAGGTGGGGAAAAAGGAGGGCTGGGGTTGCATTTGGTTTGCCATTGTATGGACAATCTAGTCAGCTAGAAATGAGAGGATTTTTAGAGGAAAGGATGCAGATAAGAGTAGGCTACTTGAGCTAGTCCAGCTAAGGGCCTTCAATTGGATAAAATGTAGAAAGGAAGGTTGTCTCTTTTCACTGTCAGATTGGTTCTAGAATCCAGTTGCCTGCTTGAAAAGCTGTTGCAGTAGGACGAAGGTAAAGGGAATTGTCAGTACCAGATTAAATAACTGAACACATAGGAAAGTGCAATCTTATCTTTTTGGAGGACAAATGTAATTTTGGGGGATTCATTGTTGGACAAGCAGAGATTTCGGAGTACCCCTTGTACTCCCATAATGAAATGATTCTTTGCATTTCAAAAAAACTAAAAAATAAAAAAGGGCTTTTTAATCTCCACCATCTTAGAATTAGTAGAAATCGTTCTTTAAATAAAAATAGTTTTTTAATTCCCATCATCTGAAAATTAGTAGAAATTATTTTTTAAAACTATAATTTAAAATAAAGGGTATAACTGTAAATTTATTTATCTTGAATGGGAAAAAAATATAACTACAAGATAAAATCTTGAAGTTGGGACAAGCAACCAATTACAAATCTAAAATTTACATAAGATAATAAGAAGCTAAAATTTGGGATCAATTATAAAATTACAAATTTACCTTTAACCCCAATCTAATTTAATTAATTTTTTGTTTAATAATATTTTTATTTAATTTCTCAACAGGTATATTTAAACTTGTTTTGTGACCAGCATTGGGGATGTTGACACTATTATGTCCACCCTAGGTGAATAACAAGGGCTCTATTTACCACACTGATATTAACTGATATTAGTACGAGGAGCAGCACCCTGACTCCATTTTTCTTCCTTCTTTTTTTTTTTTTTAAGCCCAATATGTTTCAACACCTCTGCTACCAGAATCAGCGTGTTGGTTTCTGTGCCATGTTCAATTCATGATGCAGCGTCCTTTTTTTTTTTAGTGTATTATTTTTATATTAATTATTAATTAATTAATATTAATTTTTATTAACGTGTGCTGGCCTCCCATCGTCGAAGTGCTGTGTCGAAAGTTGGGGCCTTGCATGGCCCTAGCCCTGTGGTGTCCCAGTGCACTAGGTCATGTGTTGGGTACCCCGTTCATCCGATCTGGGCTCGGTCAGCAGCCCTGTGCTTGGTTGAGCCACCCTTCCCTTCATTCAATTTTCTTTTGAGTCAAAATATGAAAAACTCATTGAAACTCAAGATTAGGACGCAAGATTTGGAAAAATGACTTGAGCAACAAGAAAAAATAAGGATTATAAAAATTTTAAGATCAAGTTTTAGTACTACAATACGTAAAAATACACAAGAAATCAAGAAAATCAAGCGTGCTTACCTCTCAAATTATAGATTTTAGAAAGGAGGATCTAGGGTCCATATCTATAGCCCATCAATTTATTTGATTAAAATGAAATATTTTCTATTTATACCTTAATCAACATCTAAGTGTAAAAAAATTGTTATGCAATTGAAAAAAAAAAGATTGTTTAATTTACATAACTGCATGTGATTCCACCTTTAACATAAAGGTTATTTTGTTCAAATTCAAGTGATTAGGAGCTTATATCCCACTTTTTTTTTTTTTGTGTCTTTAAAGGCTTATGTGAGAAAAAAGGAAAAATCTAGGGGCTTTACATTGTGTTTTGCCATGTTCTTTCTCTACTCTTCACTTTGCAAAACCCATTTGTAGTTTTTGATTCTATTTGTTTCCATATAAAGTAAAAGAATTTTTTTTTTCCTTCCATGGAATCTAGAAAAGAGAACTGAGTAAATGATGTGGTGTTGCCCATGTCAATGATAGAAGAAGCTTTAACAAAGGAAAGGGAAAATGTAAAGCTTTCTTTTCAATGGTAGAATCATCCACTCCTTTCTTTTCATTGAAAATCCTAATGGGATCTTCCTAAAGGAATCTAGATTTAGCATGCTTAAGAATCTCATATCAAGGTTGCAAAATGTGCTAGAGAACGGTTGTGCCTAGGGACTGTTTAGGTGCTATCTAAGCACTGTTAAGCGCTTTGATAGTTTTGGTTTATTTTGTTTTGTTTTGTTTTTTTCTTTGCAAAAACGCCAAAGTAGAATAGAAAATTCAAAAACATAGAAGAAGCACCTAACTTTACTACCTAAGGCCTAAGCAAGGTAGTAGAGCACCACCTAGAGCTTAAGTGGCACCTAAGCATAGTCTAGGTGAGCGTTTTACAATAGTCTCGAATAAAGAGGCGACCAAGTCCCCACTTTGCCTAGTTCTTTTACTTTTAAAGAGATTGCCAATCCAAAACAAGATAAACTTCTAAAAACCACAAGAGAGTCCCTGCAATGGTGTTCCCTACCAAAGTACCAAGGCCAAAATCGAGAATGATGGAGCGAGATTCAAGCTTAGGAATTGGAAGTAAGAAAGTCATTACTCCAAGAGGGACTCCAAAAACACTAGGATATGATGAAGAAAAAGATGATGTTGATGATGCAAGTAACAATATTGAAACAAGATATTAGATAAGTGGGCAATTTCAATGATAGTTGAATGGGTTGTATTTGTTTGCTTTGCGGGGTGCTTGATTATTAGTTTAACTGTGCAAAGGTTTGAAAATGATTTGAATTGAGGATTGGAATTGTGGAAATGGCGTATGTTGGTTTTGGCTATTTTATGTTGTTGGCTTTTAGACAGATGGATGATGAATGTTGTAGTCTTCTTGATTAGAAGAACGTTTGTGTGCAATGAAAAGGGTTTTGTGTTTTGCTTTTAGGCTTAGGAAAATTCTTTGATTTTTTATGTGGTTGTGTTTAGTTCTTGTGGCTTGGATATTGTTGGTTTAACTTGGGGTTAGAAGATCAAAGGAAACCACATATATTCTAATTAGGTTTTAAACCCATGTGTTAAACATGCATCATTTGCGCATTGCTCATGCGTTTCAAGCTCTTTTTGATAATTTCAATGATGGTTGAGTGAGTTGTATTTGTTTGCTTGTGCTTGTTTATTAATTTAACTATGCACAAGTTTGAAAATGATTTATTTGGGGATTGGAATTATGGAAAATGGTGTGTGTTGGTTTTGGTTAGTTCGTATAGTATCCTTTTAATCAAATGGACGATGAATGTTATAGTGTTCTTGGTTAGAAGCAAGTTTCTGCACAATTAAAAGGTTCTATTTTTTGTTTTTGTGCTTAGGAGAAGTGTTCAATTTTTTTTGTGGAGTTGTGTTTGGTCCTTGTGGCTTGGATATTGTTGGTTAAATGTGGAGTTAAGAGATCAAAGGAAACAACAGATATTTTAATTAAGTTTCAAACTTATGTGTTTGACGTGCGTTATTTGTGCACTTCCTATGCATTTCAATCTCTTTTTGATGGTTTAATGGTAGTTGAGTGGGTTGTATTTGTTTGCTTTGTGGGGTGCTTGATTGTTAGTTTAACTGTGCACAAGTATGAAAATGATTTGATTTAGGGATTGGAATTGTAGAAATGGTGTGTCCTGGTTTTGGTCATTTTTTGTGGTAGGCTTTTAACTAGATGAATGATGAATGTTGTAGTGTTCTTGATTAGAAGCAAGTTTGTGTGCAATGAAAGGTTCCATATTTTGTTTTTGGGACTCAGGAAAAGTGTTCAATTTTTCGTGTGGTTGTGTTTGGTTCTTGTGGCTTAGATATTGTTGGTTAAACGTGGAATTAAGAGATCAGATGAAACTTCAGATGTTCTGAATAACATTGCCAGGGGTCTTGCTTCTTATCCTCTTGGGGCATTTTTATGGTTGTTGAAAACTCTATTTGTTAATACAGTAGCTGTGCTAATTATCAGTGTAAAAAATTCTTTGATAGGATTAAAGAAGCAATCTTTCGTTAGCATGTTATTGATGAGGTTCTCTCTAGGTCTCCATCTAGAGATAATAGTGGTGCAAGTACAAGCATTTCCCAGATGTGTCCCGAGTTAAGGAGGAAAAAGATAGGTAAAAGAGATGAGCTAATTAAAGTGGCTAAGGAAAATGAAGTAGGAGAAAACCTCAGCTTGGACCATGAAAGAATTTGTTGATGTCATAAGTGCCTGCAAGTTGTCTATTGCTACAGATGATGGTGAGCATAAAGATAAAAAAGTCACAAGTATGAAGCAAGGAAAGCTGATAAGAGGATTTTCAAGAAAGTGTCCAGCACTTACAAAACTGATATCAAGTAAGAATATATAAATCTATACTTTGATGGTTACAGTTACTTTATTTGACCATATAGCTTGTTTGTTTTAGAGTCGTGTGACTAATTGTCCCTGTTCAATTGATTATATAGAAGCTACATGTCAGAAAATTTTATCTGAAAGGAGGATCTCTTATACTACTTCGAGGACAAGGAAGTTGAGGATGTTCTCCTACTACTTAAAGGAGAAGCAAAAGAGATTAGGAAAAAATCTTTTAAAGAATGGATGGTGAGTTCTTTATCCCATATTGCTTTTCTTTTACATCTTCCATAAGCTCAAGCTTATATATATCTCTTAATTAGTGTGTGACTTTCAAAATTCCTACACAAATGTGGACAATCTCGATGTAGTAGAATAAGTTTAGCTCTTGTGGATAGTGATTGTGAAGATGGAAAACACCATCTAACTCTAAGGCAATACCTTGGGTGGAGTTTTCCATTTTTTTCTTCCTTGGTTGTAGATGAATCTGTACAATGAACATAAAGCACTAGCATGTTCCCTAAAAGACTCCAAGACAACAATTGAAGAGCTCAACAGGCTCTCCTTTAGGGTTATCCATTATTATATTAAAATCTATAAATTATATAATTAAATTTAATTATTTAGTATTAATATTAAAATTAAAATTAATTTTTATTTATATATATTTGTAATAAAAAATATTTTTAATACATACTTAACAAATACAAATTAAAAAAACCTTTTAATTGAAGACTTCACCCTCTAAAAAATTTAGATTATGATTGACTTAAATGTCAAAAGTGTTTTTTTTTGGTAAAAGTCAAAAGTGTTTTTTTCCAGAATAATCCCTCGGGTTGCAGGTAATCGGATCAGGTTGGAGTGAATTCGGAGGGGCCCGACCTAAATTGTCACTGCAGTAACACGAATATTGCCAAAATTTTCGAATAAAAAAAAGTAAAAAATACAATTGATTTTGATTTACGTTTCCCAATTTTCCCCCATAATCTGGCACCAATTTTCTGTACTGGGGGTTTTAAGGAGCGTGACTATTGTCAT